CACAACCTTACCTCATGTTTTCCAACCTGAAATACACACTATACCTGCTCTATGTACTCATTGGGGCTAAGATCAAGAACACCGAGGTAGAAGCAGATATTTACAGTAAACAGTTAAGAGCAAATAAACATGCGATGACAATATATTATTGGATAACACACACAAATCTTTTTAGAAACACGTTCACACAAAACCACAGATTAACATCAAGTTAATCGAACACACGGTCAAACACATATGCAACAAATGCATAAATGACTCACGAAAAGATTTCACCACATTTATCCTATCCCATTCCGTGTTCCTCACACTTCAAGAACACATATCTCCTCTCATCGCTCACCATACTCACTAAATTGATCACTCAACTCATATCTAACTGGTAAATTACAATAGATCCTAAGTTTTCGGGACAATCCTTTATCACCACATCACTTCTCCCAATCTACGTGGATAATGAGTCCCCACCTAACAGAAGTGATAAAAGTGTCTTTCTCACACTCCACATGTACATGGTCTTTTTACAGATAAAGGATTTCAGAATTTAATCACCTCTACACTCGTGATTCAAATGTCACACCCCACATCCCCCATGCATATCACCAATGCACCTTCAGGCATCTATACTCCACCTTACCAATAGACACTCAACACATTGCTGATGCACTTCAAACCCACTATGGCAAATCAATACCTTTCGACGACCACAAAGGTTACTCCAAACACCAATGCTCAGCAAATTCAGAAAGAAAATGGTGAAGGTGGCACTTATAAAGGGAATAGAAGAAAGTGTTAGTTACTTCATTTCACTCATAAAAGAGGCTCATAAAGACGAAGAAGATAACCCTACATAGCTGCCTCAGACAATCTCACAGACCACACAAGCTCATTGAGATGAAGGAGAAAACAGTTGTCCATCTTTCTTCTCACTACCACACTCTTACACCACTCACAGAGCAAACAGAGTACGCCACAAATCTCAATCCACTATGCATGCAAACACATTATACAAAATAATAAGATCACTCTAATTCACCAATTACACACATCAATCAAATTGAAAGTATAACATATCAACGCAATAGAATTAAGCAATCACATGCATGTAAAAAGGATTACACACATATGCAAATGTAGTAACCAGGTTTACTCTCAATAAACCTCACTAAGGTCACCACTCAACCCAATAGCGATATTTGCCTCACCTCTCTCATTATCTTTCATTTTATTATCATTTTCAGGACAATCTATTTCAATTATGTCCAAATTGAGCCTGTCCGGCTCGTCTTGAAAAGACTCGAGCCGAAAGTTTGGGTCGAGCCTAATTTTCGGCTCGAGCCCAAAAAATAGCCCGATCATTTTAACCGAGCCAAGTGGGAGCCTCGAATTTCGGCTCGCGAGCCTACTCGGCTCAGCTTGTTGACATACTTAGGTGGGGGTGAGTGTGAGGGCTTTGGTGTGTGGTAGGTTTGTAGATTTATTTAATTTTATATAATAATATTATTAATATTTAAAACATGCTCTATCACCTGATTTTTGTATAAAAAAAAATTTTAACTTGATTTATGAAGTTGGAACTTAAAAAACATTGTTGGCTGTTATTTCCAGTTTTCAATTTACTCTGCCAAATTTAATTTATAATAATTAAAATAACTGTTTTTATATGGAATAACTCCAAGTGAAGACAAATTCTTTAAGTGAATAGTCTTTGTTTAATTTATTGATAGAGAGCCACGAATTTTATTAGGGAGGTTGAAAGAAAGATAAATTCTTGAAGTAAAGTCCTCACCTTGATTAGGATCGAATCTCATAATTTACCGATTTATCTAGACATTTTCATGAGTGTTGATCAATAGTCAAGCAAGTACAAATTAGCTTAATAGAGAATAGCGGAATCCAAATTTGTAAACGAGGCAACGACTAGAGGTATGAAGAGTTAAAAGTGTAAGTTTATAAAAGTAAAACTTGGATGGTCACTCAAACCTTTGGTAGCACTTAGTTTTTATTGAAGAATAGATATGAATTTGTGTTAGGAGTAATAGTGTCACAATGAGTTGGGCTGCTCAAGCAACATTATACATAGTTAAAAAAATGAATTGAACAGGACCAATATAAGGATTGATACGCCATAATGAATAGGTTGTGTTGGTAATAAAAAAGACAGGTTGCACCGACTCAACTTCCAATATTGGTCGGTCTGGTCCTAGCCCAATTGATTTATTTTTATTATTATTATTATTATTATTTTTTAAGAATGTAATATTCAAGCATTCAACGGTCCTGATTACAAGGATGTTGATCCAGACCGACCTACTCATTTTGACGCTAAACCAAAATGTCCATTGAATTATCATTTGATATTCTCTTTAGGACTAAAACAAATTGATGTGTCTTGGATTTAATTAGGGATAATGTTATATGACACCAATAGTGATAGAACACCACCATATATGACATTAAATAATAAGTTCAATTAAATGTGGTGTTATGTAGCATAACCCATTAAGGATTTAATCTATTTGTACAAAATAGATGACCTAATGGTTTACTGAATTGACAAGTGGCGGCCCCCTATTAGAAGGGCGACTGTCTTCAATAGGGAGCCGCCACTAGTCAATTCGGGGCCGCCACTTGTCAATTCGATAAATCAGTAAGTACTTGGAGCATAACCCTTATCATACAATACTACATAGAATGGTTTTTTTAGTACTACTGGTGCTATATTGCACTACTCTTTCATTAGTGTGCATATATCTTGCTTTCTTGGTTGGTTATTCAATGCTTCAAACAGATGACAAACAACAAGTCTACCATCAAAGCAAAGGATAAACTCATTTTAGGCTTTTGGAATATCAGTTAAGGTGGCCTTTTCTTCATCCTTAAAAGCTACATTATTTCCTCCCAATACTCTCATTCTTCCCTTTCCCTCAACATATTTCCATGGAAGATCTTACTTTAACTGAAGAAGATGGTATGCACGTGTTTCTACCTCTTAATAAGTTTCCTTTTTTTTTTTTTTTTCCTCCTAATGGTAATTATCCCTTTTTGTTTATGTTCTTTTGGGTACTTAACTAGGGGTCTTGAGGTCAACCTCAAATACACCACCTAGCCACTATGTGATGAAAATTCAGTTATTTTCCCAAATCGCAAAGAAAAAAATAGAGACGTACCATTCATCTGATTTTGAGGCTGGAGGCTACAAATGGTACAATAATTATAAATGTACTTAATTATAATTTATAGGTGTGATTTAAATGTGAAATTAATGTCATGTTAATTTGCAGGAACTTGATTGTTTACCCGAATGGAAACAAAGACAAAGGTATTACAGACCATATTTCCGTGTACTTGGCAATGACACAAGTAGAGTCTCTCAATCCCGGTTGGGAGATTCATGCAAATTTTCGATTGTTTTTGCTTGATCAAAATAAAGACAATTATTTTACACTTGAAAGTATAGCTACCTACGCCTACCTATTAAATTTGAAATTAATTGAAGTTGGTTTAATTAATCGTGTGATAATCGAATGAAACAGATGATGTGGGGAAACGGTTTCACAAAATGAAGCTCGAGTATGGGTTCGATAAATTTGTACCTCTCAGCCTCTTCAACGATCCCGCAAAGGGATATCTGGTGAATGACACTTGCGTGCTTGGAGTTGAGGTTTATGTTACTCAAGAGAAACTCACTGGAAAGGGGGAGATTTTGTCATTGGTCAAAGATGCCATTAGCTACAAACACACTTGGAAAATCGACAATTTCTCCAATTTAACTAACGAATATCTAGACTCCAAACCATTCAATGCTGCAGATCAAACATGGTATACATCTTTTTTAATCAAACTCCATTACATCTCGACTATTTTTCATGATATGTAAAAGCAAGATTGATGGATGCAGGAAGATACAATTATATCCGAAAGGGAAAGGCACTGGAAAGGACAACTATATATCGTTATATCTAGCATTGGCTGAACCTGAAAAACTTTCTCCTACAACTAAGATATACGCAAAATATACCTTACGTATATTAGACCAAATTAACGGAATACACGACTCTGATATAGGTAAATCACGATGCATATAATATTGGCATTGCGAAGAATCAAAAAACCTCCCAAGATAAGCACAAACATTTCAAAAAATAATTCGTCTTTATGTGCTTTTGCAGCTAATCACTGGTACAGTGCATCAAATAGTTTATGGGGTTGGCAAAGATTTGCGCCTATAAGTTATTTTTATAAGAAATCGGCTGGTTTTCTGGTGAACAACAGCTGCATTGTGGAAGCAGAGGTTACAGTCAATGGCATGGCTAATGAACTTTGAGAACGCACTTCTACATTGAAGTAAAGGATGCTGCTTAATGAATATTTTCCTTTTTGATGAAATAAAAAGGGAAATTGGTAGTCACACTGCAATAGATCTTCAGTATAATTGTTGTGTGACATGCTAATTTACCACTACGTTATGTAATAAAAGTTTTGAAATAAGAAAGTACAAGATATGGTCATAGCCCTCATTTTATGATTTTCGCCTTTTATTATGTGTTCACAAATAGGCAATTTCTACTAGTTTTGGATGATAGGCATTGAAATGTGACATAATAGTGAATTTGATGCTAAATAAAAGTTTAGTAACACAATTGCGACGATTAAAGTTTTAATCTGAGTACACTGATTGTGTTGAATGATGTACCATTTATAAATCATCAAACATAAATTATTACTTAATATTACCCACTTACTCGGAATAGTATTTTTGTGGAATATTATTGTCATTGAGTTTACTTATGTTATGGATTTAACCTTACCCCTAACTTCGAGAGCAATAATAAATGCAAAAGAAATTAGAAAACAGCAAAAGAACATAAATTTTAGTGGTTTATCCTCGACTCTTAGATAATTACAGGGGGTAATCCTGTGAAGGGTTGTGATTGGTGTACATTATGGACACCATTATGGTGTCCATAATGTACACCAATCACAACCCTTCAAACCTGAAAAACTTTCTCCTACAACTAAGATATACGCAAAATATACCTTACGTATATTAGACCAAATTAACGGAATACACGACTCTGATATAGGTAAATCACGATGCATATAATATTGGCATTGCGAAGAATCAAAAAACCTCCCAAGATAAGCACAAACATTTCAAAAAATAATTCGTCTTTATGTGCTTTTGCAGCTAATCACTGGTACAGTGCATCAAATAGTTTATGGGGTTGGCAAAGATTTGCGCCTATAAGTTATTTTTATAAGAAATCGGCTGGTTTTCTGGTGAACAACAGCTGCATTGTGGAAGCAGAGGTTACAGTCAATGGCATGGCTAATGAACTTTGAGAACGCACTTCTACATTGAAGTAAAGGATGCTGCTTAATGAATATTTTCCTTTTTGATGAAATAAAAAGGGAAATTGGTAGTCACACTGCAATAGATCTTCAGTATAATTGTTGTGTGACATGCTAATTTACCACTACGTTATGTAATAAAAGTTTTGAAATAAGAAAGTACAAGATATGGTCATAGCCCTCATTTTATGATTTTCGCCTTTTATTATGTGTTCACAAATAGGCAATTTCTACTAGTTTTGGATGATAGGCATTGAAATGTGACATAATAGTGAATTTGATGCTAAATAAAAGTTTAGTAACACAATTGCGACGATTAAAGTTTTAATCTGAGTACACTGATTGTGTTGAATGATGTACCATTTATAAATCATCAAACATAAATTATTACTTAATATTACCCACTTACTCGGAATAGTATTTTTGTGGAATATTATTGTCATTGAGTTTACTTATGTTATGGATTTAACCTTACCCCTAACTTCGAGAGCAATAATAAATGCAAAAGAAATTAGAAAACAGCAAAAGAACATAAATTTTAGTGGTTTATCCTCGACTCTTAGATAATTACAGGGGGTAATCCTGTGAAGGGTTGTGATTGGTGTACATTATGGACACCATAATGGTGTCCATAATGTACACCAATCATTATTCTCCTTTGAATGATCAAAGTTAAATGTGACTCTTTGTGGTCACCGTTAATTTATCCAATAAACTTGGAATACATTGAACAATGTGGTTGTGACTCCACTAAATTGATATTAAGCACCGCTAGTGATAAATAACTAGGGGCGGACCCATGAAGGGTTCGTTTGGGGCAGTCGCCCCCAGTGAAATTTAAAATACCTTCAAAAAAGAGCTAAGACAAACAATAAGCATTTGGTCTTGTGGTGTGATTCTTGCTTTGGATGTAGGAAGTCCCGAATTCAGGTCCCAAAATGCCATTTTTATTATTCTTTTGTGTTTTGTTTTTAGCTCTTTCTCTCTTTTAATTTTTTGTGTCAAATCCATCATGCCTCAAAAATGATTGAATAAAATCGATAGAGTTGTATTCCAATTTATTTTTCTGTTCTTGTAAAATCACAAAAGGTCGGCAAAAAATAAAACAAAAAGAACATAGAAAAAATGTTGTCTTTGGAAGAAAAATAAAAGCGAAAATTTAGGGGTATTTCAAAGTGCTTCCTCACCAAGCAACACAAACCTCGTCCAGACTTGAAACATTCAAAAAATGCTTTAACAATTTATTTAAGGTCCTTTTTTTTTCTTTTTTCTTTTTTTTTTTTGCCTCGCCCCCACTGAACAATAATCTTGGGTCTGTCCCTGTAAATAACACTATTGGAATAGAATTTCTAAAATGTCTGTCTATACAATACATAAAGATTGAATAAAACAACGAAAATTTACATAGTTTGTTTTTGAAAAATAACAATATGGTGATTTTTAGAAGTTGAAACGTAGGGGTGTAAGCGATCCGGTAGAGGAAATTTTGACATATTTTCAAGCTAAATAATTTAAAATGATTTCAAAAAATCCGAAACATAAATCAAACAATTTAAAACGGTTTGAGATTTTTTTCAAATATAAACTAACGGCTTGATTTGATTTAAAATTGTAGTTTTACCATATATTTTTTTTCTTTATGTTCACTTTTAACGTTACTAGTTCATTGAGAAAAAAATATCTTTCTATTTGGCAATGTAATATAAAACAAACTATATGTATCAAACTATAAAATCTAAATGCCACCAAAACAACATCCAAGTTATTACAATATAACAATAACAAAAAGTTTTGTTCACTTTTTAAGAAAAATTCATACAAAACAAAAGTTAATACAAACTGACGAAAACAAGGCCACGTTTGTCATTGATTTAAGAGCTCAATTTCTGATTGTATAACAATCCACATCTATTTCAAGTGTTTGATAAACTTAAGAGGAAAAAATAATAATAATAATCTAATTATGGAAGATTTGTACTATCTGATAACGGATTTTTTTGGGGAAAGCCCATTTGACAGCCCCTCGACATCCAAGGGGCGTTGGAGGACGCTTGCGCACCACAAATGGGGGGTGCCACACAACCCCTTGGACATCCAGGGATTGTCACTCAAGAATTACTTGATTTTTTTTCCTAAATTCTATTTTAATATTTTATTTTATTTGGTTTATTTGTGGCATAAATACTTGTTTTACTACATGTTACTCATACAAAACTCTTTTTTTTCCCTTCCAATTATTGCTTACTTTAAATCACATTGAAAACTAAAAACAATGTATTGGATCAGCCGGGCTTGCAATATCAGTGCGTTCGTCGGCCAATCGATGCTCAGATTTGGAGGACAGCATGAACAATATTTTAAATGGTCATATCAATACCTCCTCACCTTTACTTAAATAAATAAATAAATAATTGTTGAACCACAACCTTGAGGGCCCCCACCGTCCCGCCCCGCTCTTCCCCTAGAGCTTTGTGAAGAAGGTAAATCGCGGGATGTGTCCCAACGGGCCATGAAACAAAAGCTGCATGTACACTGCGCCTACAAAGAGTCTAATTTCATATCTCAGGAATTGAATCTCCACACTACGACTGTCAGCAAGATGTAAGATAATATCATTCGTGTCCTTTGTACCACTGAACTATGCCCTAGGGGCGCTTTACTTTTTCATAGGAAAAGTCAATTCAGATCAACACACTCATTTTGACGTCCCAACCAAAAAGTCACTTGAGAATCTATTCAAGGTACATATTCTTGCTTCCTTGGGTATGTTATTCAATGCTGCGAACAAATGACAAACCAGTTGACGATCAAAGCAAAGGATAAACTCCTTTTAGTGTTTTGGAATATAATTTCTTCGTCCTTTAAAACTACATTAATTCGTCCAAATGCTCTCATTCTTCCGTACGTATTTTCATGGCAGATATCACCTTACCACAACAAGACGGTATGCATACGTTCAATGACAGAGCCATATGGGTGGCGTGCCGATCGCCCTCGCAACATTTTTTATTTTTTTCTTGATTTTTACTGAAGTTTTTAATTATAATAACTCTTCTTCTTCTTCTTCTTCCTTTTTTTTTTTTTTTTTTTTTTTTTTTTTTTTTTTGTATTTTATTAGGGTTCTCAAGGTCAATCTCAGATACACCCCCTAATCACTATACGATGAAAATTCAGTCATTTTCGCAACTCGCGAAGAATAAAATAGATGCATACCATTCATCTGATTTTGAGGCAGGAGGCTACAAATGGTACATATTAGATTTCATGCGTGTACTGAATTATATTTTAGAGGTGCAATTTAATTGTGAATTAATTTTTTGTGTTAATTTACAGGAAATTGGTTGTTCACCCGAATGGAAACGAAGACAAAGGTATTACGGACCATATTTCCGTCTACTTAGTGATTACACAGGTAGAGTCGCTCAATCTTGGCTGGGAGATTCGTGCAACTTTTCGATTATTTTTACTCGATCAAAACAAAGACAATTACTTTACACTTGAAGGTATAGCTACCTACAAGTACCATTTAAATTGGAAATTAATTGAAGCTGGTTTAATCAATCGTGTGATCCCATGAATTAGATATTGCCGGGAAACGGTTTCGCAGAATGAAGCTCGAATGGGGTTTCGATACATTTGTACCTCTCGCTCTATTCAACGATCTTGAAAAGGGGTATCTAGTGAAGGACACTTGCGTGTTTGGAGCAGATGTTTATGTTACTCATGAAAAACACACAGGAAAAGGAGAGATTTTATCAATGATAAAGGACGCCATTAGCTACAAACACACTTGGAAAATCAACAACTTCTCCACTTTAAACGACGAATGTCTAGACTCCGAACCATTCAATGCTGCCGACCAAACATGGTATACGTCTTTGCTAGTCGAAAACTCCAACTCATCTCTACTATTTTCTATATCGCGTAACAATACTCATCAGTGGATGCAGGAAGATACAAGTATATCCAAAAGGGAAAGGCAGTGGAAAGAACAACTTTGTATCGGTATATCTGGCATTGGCTGAACCAGAAAAACTTTCTCCGGCGACTAAAATATATGCAGAGTTCACCATATATATATTAGACCAAATAAATGGAAAAAATTACTTTGGGACAGGTAAATTCTTTGCTCCATAAATTACTTACATAGATTTGAAATTAATTAACCATTTGTTATATTTTTGCAGCTAATTACTGGTTTAGTGGAAAAAATTGTGTACGAGGTTGGCCAAGATTCGTGTCTGCGAGTTATTTTAATATGCAATTGGCTGGTTTACTGGTGAAGAATAGTTGCTTTATGGAAGCAGAGGTGACGGTCCATGGCATGGCTAATGAACTTTGAGAAATGCTATATTAATTTGTATATATGTGACAATAATGTTCAAAATGGTGATTAAAAAAAAGGAAGAAGTGTGAATTTTGGTTGAGATCACATTATTTTTATGAATATTTAATAAGCTTATGATATGATATGTATTGTTCTAATCTAAAGCAAATTTTATAAAATGGAAAATGTAGGGTAAATTTTATTTGCGATTGACGAAATTTCAATTGTTACATTAAAATTTAATTCATCTTAATCAATTCAGTTTAGTTTTAATTAAGTCGAAGAAATTTAACTTTAGTTACGGATTTCACCTTTTTGTCACTCACAACAAAGTTTTTACACAATCGCTACATGACAAGTCGACTTATCAGTACATCAGGTATTTCATCGTTTTAAGTTAAAGATATCTCACAACACTCAATTTATTCTTTTTGTTTCTACGATGTCGTGTAGTAGTTATGGAAGATCAGTAATAATATATCTGTTAAGTAAGTAATTTTTTTCAGTTCGGAGGACTTGGACAATATGTGACAAAATGTGACATTATGATGAAATTTATGACTAAATTGAAGTTTGACAAATTAAAATTTAATAATTTTACATGGTCAAGGATGGAATTTACCCTCAAAAGTAAATAAGAGGCATAAGTGAAATTTTTAAATAGTTCGAAACAGAGGATTCATTCCAAGACTAATTGGACAAATTGAAGGAACAATGACTCTGAAAGGTAGCTCAGTGGTCAAACTTTGAGTTTGTTCCTCAATAGTCATCAGTTTGAGTCCTCTCAAGGCCACTGAGGTAAATACTTGACTGTAAACTTCAGGACCTCGTGGGATTAGTCGAAACGCGCGTAAATTGGCTTGGACATCCATGGTTATCAAAAAAGAAAAAAATTGGAGGAACAATATATTCTGCCTAATATAATTATAACGGCTATATTGCTCTAACTTTCCATGGATTGTGGTTTGATTTTGTAAACTGCACAATCTTAAAATATCTTAAAATGGTCAAATGTCACAGGACATGTAAAATGCACAATCTTAATATCAAAATCAATACATAATAAAATTTTGTGCCGACGATCACGGACCGTCCATACAGTGCCCGTGTCCATGGTACCCAACATCTACATGCAATTGCTCGTAGATTAGCCTTCCTTCCACGTGTTTGGCAAACTTATCATAAACACAATCTAGGACAATAAGTAGGTTAACACGATAGTACTTGCAAATCAAAGCTATCATTTTCACACGATCACGGGTTACACACAGAGATTACAACGTTTGGAAAAGCTTATTATGTGTGGAATCTCCATAAGATAACTTTTATCCTTTTNGATCACGGGTTACACACAGAGATTACAACGTTTGGAAAAGCTTATTATGTGTGGAATCTCCATAAGATAACTTTTATCCTTTTTTTCCCCAAGCATCTGTAATCAAAGAAAAGTGGTAAGACATATTAAACAAAGATAATAAAAAGTGATAGCAGAGTAGCAGTTTTGGTGCAGCCATTCCCTCCCTCCCTCCCAAGATGGAATCCTGGGGATGCATAGAGATTCTTCATATCAATTTTAAGGAGCCGGCTCTGTTGCATCAGAATCACCTAACATCTCTTCCATTTGAACGGTAAATGCTTGTTTGTTAATGCCGTAAGGTTGCCTCAATATTTGATATTAACTCTTATGACTTATCCACCTCAGAAAGATTGATGAATTTACAACTTCTGTAGCAACTGAAATGCTCCAACTGAACCAAGAGTGACGATAATATCATCAGTTCTTTATTGGTCATTCAGTGAAGCATCTGTTTCGACATCATGGTCACCTTTAGAAACAACATCTGCATTGATCATCTGATTTTCTAGCTCCAGATCATAGGCCTTATCAGTCATACCTTCTTTTCTGTATGCACCAATCATAACAGAGTAAGTTGTGGAATCTGGTTGGCAACTTTTATCTTTCATTCGCCTGAAAACTCTTTCCATCTCCATTAAATCCTCCGCCTTCGCACATGCATATATGACAGCATTAAAGAACGAGGTATTCTCAGGTATCTCCAATTTTCCAGCCAATTTAACACTGCTGATCACCTTATGGAAAAGGCCAGCATTGGCATACCCTCTGATGAGGCAGCAGAAGGTCTTGGTGTCTGCCTTCATGCCTTCGGCTCGCATCTGATCAAATGTATACTCCATGTGCTTGGCATCGCCTACATCTGAAAATGCCTCGATTACATTGTTGTACGTTGATGTCGTCCAAGGAAATGAAAGCCTACGCATGTATTCCATTACTGAAGACATCTTATCGTACATCCTTTTCTTCCCATAAGCACCAATCAGAATGTTAAAAGTGCGCGTTTCTGGTTCAATTCCGAAATTGCGGAATTTTTCATACCATCTTTCCATCATTTCAATTTGACCTTTGTTACCAAACACGCTAAGAATAGTATTCATAGTCCACACGTCAGGTTTGCACGTGGTGCTCTCAAGCATCCCGGAGAGCACTCTTTCCATCTGTTCGTATTTCCCTGCCTTTCCATAACCACTCAACACTATATTTTGAGTAACAGTGTTTGGAGTTATTGATCTTTCAGCCATTTGATCATAGAGGGACTCAACCAGCTCAAAACGAGAAGCATCAACACAAACTTTAATCAGTATACTAAAACTATATACATCAGGCTGGCAGAGAGGAAGAGCCTTCATTTGTTCAAGCACAGAAAATGCTTCATCGATCAGATTGCTCCGAGAATAGGCAGCAAGCAAGGCAGTATAAAGTTCTGAGGTCGGTTCCAATCCTTCTTCAACCATCTCATCGAAAAGTCGACGGGCATGTTCTGGTTGTCCAGATTTCCCGAGAACAACAAGGAGCTTCATGTATGTCCCTTCTTTTGGTTGATAAAAAGGCTGATCCTTTAGCATCTCAAATACCTAAAATTCAGAGGACAACTATTATTAGGACCTGAACCACTAAAAGTATTAACTGCACCAATTTATTTCACCTGTGCTTAAGTTTCCTTGCATGTTCTATACCAAATTCAGGTAAGAAAAATAATCATCCGCTCTTTCCTTAAGAACAACTTTTTGCTTCTTCATATTGTGCAATCATTAATTATTGGTGTTATTAACCACAATCACATTTAATTCATAACAATGCAAGAAAAGGCACATACAAATTAGTATGAAACCCTCAAAAATCATCTATGCCCATAAATTAATTAGAAGGAAAAATCCAGTTCAGAATGTTAAAAAAAAAAAAAAGAAAAAGAAAAAAGAAAAAAGGGAGAAAAAAATACAAGACCTGAAGGGCAAGGAGCCATTGCTTTTTGTCAATGGCATCAGCGAGGGCTTCAGTGACAGTGTTGACCCATGCCTTGGCATTGTTTTTCTTATCCAATTTCTTCTTGATATTCTTTATGGGTGTTCTTTGCTTATTATTATTGTTTGAGAGTCGTGGAATGGAGAATTCAGTGACGCCCGGGTATTCCCCTGCTTTCCAGTGTTTTTTCTTTGGCAAGGTCACTGTTGATGATGATGATGCAGTGGCGGTGGGTGTGGAGGAAGAGCAGCAGAGTATGACGAGTCTCGGAAGACGACGGGTGGTGGCGCCACTGCTGGTGGTGGTGGTGGTGGGGAGAGGAGAAAACGGGAGAGAGGAGGACAAGGAGATATGAAACGACGACGTTGTCATTGTTTGCTACAACTCAGAGCAACTGTGAAAAACGGCTCTAGCGTGAGATTGGATGATGAAGAGCAAATCGTTGTAGCCAAATGACCTTCTTATCCTTTCCTTTCTTTTCTTTTTCATTTAATTTCTATATTTATTTATAATACTTTACATCTAAACTATTAAATTTTCGAAGTTACTTAAATTAAATTTCATTTCATTTCTATTTAGGGATGTCAAATGGGTCGAGTCGGCTCGCGGCTCAACTCGTCAAAGCTCGGCTCGTGGGTTGCTCGGGCTCGTCATTCGGCTCGCGGCTCAACTCGTCAAAGCTCGGCTCGTGGGTTGCTCGGGCTCGTCAAATGACGAGCTCGAGCCGAGTGGGGGTCGATTCCAACGCTCGGCTCGTCGAGCTCGACGAGCGGCTCGTGGGGCCGAGCTCATGAGCCGGCTCGTCCAAAAAAGTGAAAAAAAATTAAAATTTTATCAATAAAAATTGAAAAATTTACATCGTGGGCTCGGCTCGGGCCGGCCCTGCCCACGAGCTCGTGGGCCGAGTCCGAGCTCGTCCACAAGCAACGAGCCGAGCCCAAGCTCGGCTCGTAAAAAACGAGCTACGAGCTCGAGCCGAGCTCGTGGGTTAACGAGCCGGCTCGGCTCGGCCCACTGCCACCCCTATTTCTATCAACTATTTTCAACCACATAATCTTCTATAAAATAATATTACACGTAAAGTGAAAACTTTTCATTCTTTTTCAATCACTAATTTTTCGAATAAAAATATTATTTCACACATTTTCATTTTCAAAAAATGGAGACCAAACGGATGCTTAATATGAACATCTCAAGATTTACGAGTCTTCGGAGTTATTTATTGGTCGAGAATAATACTTATGGATTCATAGTATAATTTTATTATTTGGAAATAAATTAAAACTCATTCTTTGAAAAAAAAAAAAAACTTTTCATTCTTTTTCAATCACTAATTTTTCGAATAAAAATATTATTTCACACATTTTCATTTTCAAAAAATGGAGACCAAACGGATGCTTAATATGAACATCTCAAGATTTACGAGTCTTCGGAGTTATTTATTGGTCGAGAATAATACTTATGGATTCATAGTATAATTTTATTATTTGGAAATAAATTAAAACTCATTCTTTGAAAAAAAAAATTTATTTTTAAATAATATTTTGACATTATTTCAATCACACATTCTTCAATAAAATAATATTACAAATAAATTCAAAACTTTTCTTTATTTTTTAGCCACACATTTCTTATTAATACACTGTTCAAAAATACATTTTTCCCTCTAAATGAACTCAAACAAGGGCCAAAAATAATAATGTAATGTAGCATTTTAGCCCCCATTTGCCCCCCATTAATTTCTATTACATTACATTTTTTCTCTCATATTTTCAACAACACAATCTTTCATAAAATTATATTACACGTAAAACGAAAACTTTTCCTTCTTTTTTAACCACTCATTTTTCAAAAAAATATTATTCCACAATTTTCAACTCTACAAAACGGGGGCCAAACGGGAGCTTAATTTTTAGCAAGAACTTAATAAAGCAAAACAATAGCTAGCTCATATTATAATTGATCGCTCCATATTCAATTATTGTTACTTATTAGGAACTAAAGACATTTCTACAGAACATACTGACATCGAGAACCAATCCTGTATACATAACAACTAGTTTAGCTTGATCCATACTTCAATTGTTCCCACCTGAAGGGTTGGAACACATAAAGAACTTCAGGTGAGCTTTTGAATAGCAAAGCTACACATACACAAACTGCCCCAATTGCAACCATAGAAAGCATCGCCGGTCGGTATATTGCCAGTGATGATGATCTTGGCGACCTTCCATAGCGCAATTTCTGCTCACACTGCCTGCAATGCGTCTCATTTGCTCTTCCCCCACCCTTTTCGCTTTCAAAGACAGCAGCTGATTTTGCTGATTTTCCTGCATCACTTGGCACATTGTGCTTGATGCTACCACCGTCTAAGAGAGTACCTGGAATGTCAACAACATGTCCAGATCCTTCTTTCGTTTTGATTTTCCTTTGAACGAGATGAATATACGTGAAATGACCACGGAAATATGCATAGTCATAGGGCGTTAATCCTGTGCTGTCTCGAGCACCCTTCCATGCTTCAATTCCCACCTGAACAAAAAGGCAATCATGACCCTGAGAAGTTCTCTCACAGGAGGAGTAACAGTATAATTATACAAAATAACCATTCTAACTGGTTCTGATTAATCAGAGGAGCAAGGATTGGACCAACTATGAAAGAAGCAGGAGAAGTAGAAAAAATGTAGATAATAATGCAAATCCATATCTTTACTGCTATAGTTCTATAGGAAGGTGTTCAAAAACACACAGGCAATACACATACAACAGGCGTGTCTTTATGAGCTACTACATACAGCTATGCAAATACTATATTGCAGACAAATACAGATATCTTGAGTACACATACTTGCACCGCTAGTGTATGAATAGAGTAGTTCCAGAGTAATGATTCAAGTAGATAGACTCAAAAAGGGATAAGCAGAAAATGCAAGAACTGAGACCAAAACAAAGTTAGTTCTGGTTAACTATTTATTCTTCTCATTTTTCAGTAGGGCACCCATCGAACTTTATCAGCGTCTGAGACAAGAAAAATTGTGCTTAGAACCAAAATACAAGAAAGAAGCAAGTACCGATCCAGGATCTTCAGTTAATGCATCTAAGACATTCTCACAGCTGTCCAGACTAGCCGCTATGTGAAGAGGAGTCAATCCCCCAGGACCCACTGCATCAGGCTTAAATATATAGGTGTCCTCATCATGTTGCTTATGTATGGATACTGATTTATTTAGAAATTCATCTTGATGGTATCTTAATAGGAGTTCTACCATGGACCTACAATTTCTCCGTACAGCTCGATGAAGAAGGCCAATATCCATCAATGCAAGTAAAACTGACTTGTGTTGCCCCGCATCCACATTACCACTATATAGAATACCCAAAAGTCTTCTAACTACAGCACACCAATCATGATCAACAGAAAACTCGACGAGCCACCTGAACCGTCTGAAAGGAAATAGATCCATGTTGGCACTGGTTTCACCCAACCTAAACTTTAAGTGAATTTTATGGAGAAGCCAACCCATTTCATGTATAAAGTCCAAAGCCTCGTTTCTAGCATCTAGTTTATCAGTATCTCCCTCGATGCCATTAGCAACTTCAGAGGCCTCGATGGTTCTTTCCAGCGTACAAATTTCAGAACAGACATCCTTCTCTGCAACAATGAATGGAAAGAAGCTGCTACTAAGACCATGATCCTCAACCTAAAAAGGGGATGACAACCACAATTCAGAACTCACAAAGAGAATATCAAACAAAGTTTGCAGTCCCAAGGCATAACTGGCACACAAACTACATTTACGTAGGCAACATCTAGTGGTGAAAATAAAATCACCTCAATAAATCCCCTTCCTGTAGAACTGGGTATAATGCAGGGGAACCTAAGAGACTGCATCTCATCATGCTCAATTAGTGAATCTGCTTCTCCTGTCACATTAGCACAACTTTCCTGCACTAGATACTTCCCTTCTAGTGCACATAGTAACCTGAATGTTGTGAACTTCTATATTATTACAAAGATCATGTAGTAAACTACATCTTTGAAATGAAGGTATCAACGGGATTTAGAAAAGAACACCTCCCAGTGGAGAGAGGCAAGTTGAAGCCTTTAACGAAAAATTGAACATCCTCTGAGACAGGAACAGCAATTGGCTTGATACTTGATATCCTGCATCTTCTACGGTTTTTAAGTGGTAAGAGTGTGTCTAAAACAATCTGACCTGAAGCACAAGTAATGAAAAAATTTAGTCTTCCCATTCAAATAGTTCTTATACAGTTTTAAGTACAAAGAATTAGAGGCGACATGAAGAATAGAAATAAGCAAAGATACCATTATATAGAAAAGCAACACGATGCCTCACTCGAGTATAAATCCATCCTGTACTCCAAAATGAATCAGTAGATGAATCAACAAGCCTCCTCAAACTGGAACTTAGACCACAGTAAAGCTGCAAGAGTAGTAACTAAAAAGATCAAAGGCAAATTTCCTATATAAGAGATCATAAACAGTTTGGTATAGTATCGTATGTGGCTCAAGTAAGTCCAATTATCTAGTAAATTTAAACATGTCCCAATTTCTAGCTCCTGAAGCCAAACTCAACTCCAATTTACGAACTCCATTTGTGAGAAAGCAGACCTTGATACCTTCTCATGGATTCATTTTACTTAAAGATGGCTCTGCTCATACATTTACAGTCTTGATTCAATATAACTGGTTGGTTCAAAATGACTCATGCCAGCTAAACTCGGCTCAGCCCATGGTTTACACTACAACTGGCAGTAATTGGTTATCTTCAATTCTGCAATGAAGTAAAAATTACCTCCTCCCAAGTGGATTTATCCATTCGCAGATATATTGTCAGTATGATGCAACCAGGTCTAATGTAGCTCTCAATGTCACTAGGACTGTGTGATAACCAGTCAAGAATCTGCAGTAGCATTGGACAAGATCAAGCTCTCAATCATGAAATGCACTAGAAAATGGCAACTGGAAATATAAGATTTGAAAAGGTCAACATACTTGTTTTCGTAGGGCAAGAGGAATTTCACTTGGATCTTTCCCAAAGAGTTTAAATACAATTCGATCTGTGCGACTCTGTAAAATCATATGGAAAAATTCCATTAAATAAAAATTCTCTTTGACTAGGTAAAACCTACACTAAACTTCGGCACATTTTATCCAATTTGGATATATCTAAAATTTACTTTAAAAAGCTATCTATTCTAACACACATCAAGTCAATATTTGTAGATATCAATTATTTTGCAGATGACTATCCTGTGTATCTTTCTTCTTTTTCATGACATGCTACTCTCTGATTTTTGAATCTTGACGGGCATTACTTCTTAAAATTATTACTTATTCTATAATGACAATGATAAAATGATTAGGAGGCAGAGAATCTTTCAATCGTGCTTAAATATGGGTTAGAATACTAATAGCACTGGTATGCACGGTACTCATATAAGATATTTTCTCGTAGTACTAGGAAGATACCACACTGAAAATGTTAGAACGCTGAAAGTGTGTTGTAAGTTGAAATGGGAACAGATCCATCCATATCAATGATTCCTAACTTGTACAACTCAGCTTACAACAAACTTCCTCAACTTATCTATCACTTTAAGGGTAATAATCAAATCAGTGTAATGCAAACAAACACAGTTTATACCTGTGCCTCTCCACTGGAAGTAGATGGTGAATGGGTGGATGTGGAACCTGAGTTTCCACTATTTTGAGTTGCAATAGATGTGTGAGAGTCTGTATATAAACATAAAGGAGCAACAGAGTCCAGTAGATTCTCCACATGGTCTTGAGAATCATCATAAACATTATTTAAGTCAAAGGTAGTTGGTTTCACCCTTCCCACCACCGAATCTGAAGCATTTGCTTCGGTTGAATTACTTCCTTTCCATGGCAACAAAACGGAAGATTCTTTCTGTAGAACACCATCTTGAGCATTATTAGTAAGCATTCTATTTTCTCTCACTCCAGACGCATGTATTTTCATGCATTGCCCAACAGCCAAAGGGGGGTCCTGTAATCCCATGAATTCAGAAGTTACCCATAAAAAAAATTGTAAATTCGGGAAAATTGAATTAAGATTCGACACCTTTTCTGCAGTCGCAACAGATATCCCTGCATTCTTCATATCCTGAGATGTAGGTGGCAATCCAGATGTGTGTCTCTCATTAATTGGCCCAGCAAAACTGGCTAGATTCCTCAAAAGATGAGGGAGCAGATCCTGATCCTTCGTTTGATCTGAGCTGGCTGAAATTCATAAATAGGAGAAGCTGTGAAGTGATTAAGCCCTTGTTTGAGTCCCATTATCTAAAAACTCATTTTTTTTTCCAAACTCATTTTCAACTACACATTCTCCTAATAAAATAATTTTATATGTAAACCCAAAACTTTTACCTACTTTTTAACCACACATTCTCCAAAAAAAATACTATTACAAAACTCATTTTTTTACAAAAAATGAAGCTCAAACAGAAGCTAAGTAACCCAAATCATGACACGGTAAAAAAAGGAACTAATCAAACACAGAGAGGGGGTAGGGGTGTTGAAAAGAAAATAAACTCCAATAAAAAAGAAATTTCGTCATTTTTCTTAGTTTGGTATAAATGTCATCAATAACAGAGATATACTATCAAAATCAGGCATTTTCTTCTTTTTATATTTCATTTTTATATATTATCTAACCTCCTCAAGACTCTTAAACTGTACAAATTCTGTAGTTAGATCATCTTGATTATATATTGTCAGTAGAGACATCTGTCTACATACAATCTCACATCAAAAATCAATGTTGATTGTGATAGGTTCCTTATTATATGAAGGATATCCTTGTATACTCAAAACTTGACAGTTAACCTGGTCTTGAAAGCAAAGTAATAGCACCATACATGCTTCGGATATCTCATGACAATAAGAAGAATCTTGGATTCTTTGTAATAACTATGTCTCCCTTCAAGGTAAGACTATAATCAAGTCATCTCCTTGCCCACATCAATTTGTACTCAACCCTTGACGCTCCAGTAATATCATGAGGGAAGAGATGAACCAAGGTCTCAGAATATACTTAAACCACATTCTGGTTGTTGGACATCCACAAAAACCTTGAAAACTTAACCAAACTAGGTTCACAATATCAGTTACATAATCAATACCTTCCGCAATTTATAGTGTAAAACACATCGTGAAAAATTTGTCTTGAGGACAACTAAGTTCCTCAAATCTGATGTTGCTCGCATCCAAATATGATCTGGATTTACCAAAAGAAACAAAAGAGGTATTCAGTTATTTGTATGTACTATAACTAATTTCAATCGATCTTGTCTTGTATATCTGCAAATATGAATCTTTTGGCATACCACTGCCTGACCCACAATTGCCTAGACTAGGGTTTCTCAAGCTTGGACACACATAAGCTCATGATGCTGTATTTCTTGTATTTATATGATTCGCTTTCAATGCAGCTGGCAGCTAAACTTGGTAAATATTATGAAACTCTCAATTTGAACCTTCTTGCATTCTTTCATCTTGTCTACAGTTCCTTTATTGAATTGCATCATGATCATTTTTGAAGTTTATGGTTCGTATATACTTAAGTGAAAGAACTTCAAAACTAAAAGCATGTTTAAGAATTGTTTATAATCAATTATTAATAAATAGAAATAAGTGATGGATAAGTGAGTTGTAATTGTATGTCCCACGAAATATGTGAATAAAAAGTAATTTGACTGATACAAACAAATTATAAATAATAGGCAAATGAGGCTAAGAAATCCTTCAACTAATTCCAATATGAGATCAATATTAACAGAGAAAATGTAGCCTGAAAGAAATGCACTGAAAGAGATCAAGGAACTTGCAATAACAGCGATTTGCATAGCTTTCATCTGCAAAAGGATATAACATCTCCAAGATTTCCCTTTGCTATCCTTGAAATTTAACATCATAATTCTACACTACAACCCAATTTTCCCTAGAGAATCTTGCATCAGTTGAACTGGATTGCAATTAAAACCACTGTCTAACAGAATGAGTTTTTCTCAGCATAGTTAGACTTTCAGGGAACCAAGAACCCTGATCCTTAACTTTTACTGCACAACACCCCTTGCAATATAAAATGGAAACAAGCTAACTAGGAAGGCATATGTGTGGGTTTCTCCACGCATCAAGCATTCCTTCTTCATCACTGTACTCATAATGTCGTGCACAAATGTCGATAATCTATTTCACTATTTAGAACGCTATCTTTGCACTATCCAATCTTGTAAGTAAGAGCAGAAAGATGCAGAATAGATAAATCTTTCAGACGGATGGTTACTTACATTGTATATTGGAGAGTATCCTCAGTAGACTAATTAATAAATAATTACTACCCCGCTCATCATTTACAGAGGCTCCATTAGCTGCATTCTCTGGATGTGTCTTCCTCCTCCTTTTGTTGTGACCTGCTAGACGTCTACGACAACTCCGTTTGCCTTCATCAAACTCTTGAAGCACATGAAACCTGCAGAGAAGTATTCATTTTGCATATGTGCATAAAGGGAAATTATAATGAATCCACAAACTGTTTGTGCATTCAAAGATAGAAAAGACGACCAGACTTTGTCAATTTCCCTTAAATTCAAGGATAATCCATAATAGATAGCAGGCGCAGCTATACAGTTGGAAAGTAAATGTATACTCGACAAATACTAATTTGTTACTCCAGCTTCCAAGGTAAGCAGATAGAAAGCTATAAAACTCTGAAGGAAGCCTCTATATGAAAACTGACCTGCTGCATTGCTGACAGAATCGCTGCATAACATTTCCTACCAAAGCTTTGGTGGCCTTAGAATGCACGTCACACACTTTATGCCGACGGTGATACTCTTTGGCATTGCTCAAATCTGCTCTACAATCCTCTACTTGACAAACAGCACCATTAGTCACTGCACCAGCAATTTTACTCTTCTTCCCACTCTTCACTTCCCATTTATCTACATCCTCGCCCCCTTGTTTGATCGGAAATACCTGCTCTCCAAGATTCAAATTAAGAGATCCACTCTCATCATTCACCTCTGCATTTTCAACGTCAATAACCCTCCTCCTTTTCTCCCATTCCCTCTTTCCTCTCTCATTTCCCAACATCATTTCATCCCCTCCATCCAATGCACCATTATTATTAGCTCGAATATCTGGTTCAACAGGAAACAACAGCCCACTCCTACAATCTGCCACCGAATGTAATGGAGTGGCAGTAAACAAATCGCCATCCCATTTCCAGTCATTCAAATCCCACTCCATGCTCTTCTTCCCCGCAGCCTTTAAATCAGATACTTCTGGACTATAGAAAATACTTCTCTTCCCCCAAAACTTACTTTCCATAATTTAACATACCATACGATACCATACACCCAGTAAACAGAAAACCAACAGAATAAAGTTGAAATTTAACTAACCTAATTTTATCAAACCCACCAGAAAAAAAAAATCAAGTTTTTCTACAAATCCATAAAAGAAACTGAGGTTTCAACACTAATTAGCCTATAATTAAGATAAATATTTGAAAAAACGCACAGCGACACTCCCATAACCAAAACAAGAGCAACAAACGAGTCCAATTCCCCCTAATCTTTCACCCAAAAATCAGTAAAATCAAAATCCCAGTGTATATGTAAATCTTTGCTACAATTTACAGCTATTAGTGTGATCTTGAAAAAAAGGAAAAAAAAAAAAAAAAGGTTGCAAGAAAAATAAAGATGAAAGTATATTTTGTACTGAGATTTGATCCTTTGATCCAAAGACGTGTAAGCAGGTAGCTAGTATCGGAACATCGTCGGCTATTCAGAGCAAGACAACAGAGCAAAACGGACAAGATTTTCCTTAAAAATTAACAGAAAATAATAATAAATTATCGGCAAAAACTGAAAAGCGTTCAACAATTGTTAGTACAATAATAATATGTAAAAACAGTACAGTTATTATCTTAAATTATGAGGCCATCCTCATGGAATCTAAGGCCCACGCGGCCACGCCACTGTTCCTGTCTTTTGGTATCTCGCTGTAAAAAGAAGAAATGTGGAAAGCTCTGTTTTTACTGCTGATTTCCCAATTCCTATTCCTAGGTGGGAACATGGAAATGCAATATTATCATTGCACTTTTTGCCTTCTTTTCATACTTTTCCGCTTTGAAATTCGTATTTTAGTATTTTCTCCAGAAATTCATGAATTACCTGACATTGGCTTCTCTGTCAATACTAAATAGGTTTTTCAATTGCTATCGACTCAAAAGCTTTAAGAATGGAGTATTGATGTGAGACTTATCACTTCACCTCGTAAAATATATTGAGAAAATGGCCGTGCTATATATACAATTGCACAATTTCGATTGACAACCAAACACATGAAAGAGTATCCACTATGAATTAAAAAAACATGGACTCCTTGACTCGATTGAACAATTAGTGTAATTCATTGAGGAAAAGTTATTTGAGTTAATTGATTAAATAAATAAAAAATAGTAGTTTTTGTTGATATGTTCATTTATTTTTTTAATATCACCTTATTACTCTTCAAATTTCTGTAATATGAGGAAAATAGTGTTAAATCATGGTGTACTTTTTTTTGTTGTCTCGTAAAAATTGTTAAATCTTCTTATTCTTCAAATATATTATAAAAGAAATATAAGTAGTTAGGTATAAATGCGTGAAAAGTTAGGCATAACTAATAAATCTTTTATTAGTTTAATTGTTTGGACCACAATGTACTATTAAGCCTTTGTCTGCAATTTTATAAACGGTTTATAAAGAGGAATAAGAAGAATAGTAACGAATTTCATGAAATGTATGGACAATAATAGTTCCACATAACATTTATAGATGAAAATGTAGGTATTTAACGTTCTTGACCAACAAATTGGTTGGACGGTCATGTGAATCGTGTGGACGAGAGAAGCTTGTATAGGAATATGTACCAAATATGTGTTCCTCGATTATGCACCCATTCGGTAATGATTAAAATTAATTTTAATTTAATTCAAAGTCAAAATTAATTTTAACCACATATTTTGTGAAATTACTACTTTTCATTTATATATATCATCAAATTTTATCAAAAAATTATTAAAAAATCTAATTTTAATGCCGTTGACTTATACCTAGTTGATAAAGCAGAATATCAAGGAAGAATGAAAGTGAATGGAAGTGTCCATCACGACGTGACCAAACACTACACGGAACACGACAGTGATTTGCATTACATATTGCACATGGGGAAGGTATATATACGAGCGGTCAAACTTCAATAAAAACATAGTACATAAATTAATGACCAACAACCAATTATTTAACCTCAATTCGGTTCGGGTAGCTATAATGGACCGGTTTACAATATACTTAGAGAGAACCGAGTAAGAACTCGACACCTTTCAGGTATCTTGAAAGCATCAAGGTTGTATAACTTATTGTTCGAACATAGGATATCTAGGTCTAGGATTTTTTAATTTTGGGGGGCCCAACAATGGTTGATGATGCTACGATTGTCGACGAGAGTTGGGGGTGAGGTCGCTAAAGTGGCTAGAGTGAGTCTTCCTACATGACTGGACGACTGACAGCATAAAAATAATTGGCAAAGAGAGTAACATTTTTAAAGTACACTATAAAGTTATTAGAATTGAAAATGAATAAAATATGTATATATATGAAAATATTAGTTTATTGTCGAGTATATCTTGCCAATTTTACTTGTCCAAAAATTAGCTCGTGCATTCTATGGGGAAAAAAATTTAATGCTAATGTTAAAAATGAAGAAATATGCAAATTAAAAAGGGAAAATTGCAGTACTAGTTTCTCACCTTTTCATTTTTTGTAAACTTTACCTAAATATTCATTTTGTGCCAATGAAATTTTCTAACCTTTCATAAATATGTACCCGAGATCCATTTGAATGGAAACTGTCCAAAACAGTGTCAATTGACTGAGAAAATTAAGAAATCAACATCCAATAAAATCGTCCAAAAAGGTATCTATATCCACTAAAACTATTACGATAGTAAATAGTTCAAAGAATTTTCCGATCAACTGGCGGTGTTTTCGATGATTTTCGTCCAGATAGACCTCAAGTGCATATGTATGATAAGTTAGGA